GGAATGCCTGAGTTCTGCCACATATGGATCCCCAGTTCTGCCTTAATTGCTACGCTCTCGTATGAAAAGGAAGGACCTTGACCGTTTTGAGCAGACCCCCAATTGTGACTGGGCATTCCTAGAACTCAAAAACCATCTCATGAGAATCGTCGTGTTACCTTTACCCTACCTGAGTCTCCCCTTCCATCTACATGTACATGAGGGAGGAGAAACTGCCCTGGGCTTTGCTTAAACAAAAACTTGGACCTCGGACTCAAGTTGTAGCCTGTTTTTCTAAGCAACTGGACCAAACTGCTAAAGGATAGGCCCCCGTATTTACAGGCTGTAGCTGCTACTTCTCAGCTTCTCAAAGAAGCTAACAAATTAACTTTTGGACAAGCCCCTGACCATCTGGACCCCACACCACCTCATAAAGGTAAGGGGGGCAGACTGGTTATCCTCTGGTCAAACCCTCCAAGTCCAAGCCATGCTTCTAGACAACCTGTCTGTGACTCTGAGGCACTGTAATGTCCTTAACCCTGCCTCCTTGCTACATCAGACAGGTCCAAAATTAACTCATGATTGTGAGGAAGTTATGGAACAGGTTTATTAGAGCAGGGCTGACTTAGAGAGCTTCCCTAGAGAGAAGGCAGGATTGGAATGGTCCACTGATGGGAGTTGCTTTATGAAAGATGGAAAACAAAAGGCAGGCTACACAGTGGTTTCTGTCACTGAAGTGGTAGAAGCTAAAGCCTTGCCCTCTGGCTGCTCTGCTCAGAGGGCTGAGTTAATTACCCTGATCAGAGCACTAGAACTAGGGAAAGGGAAAGTTGTCAATATCTACACTGACTCTAAATACGCCTGTTCAATCCTACTCGCCCATGGGGCCATCTGGAAGGAGAGGGGAATGCTGACCTCAGGGAATAAACAGATTATAAATTGCGGGGGAGGTGAATTATGAGGCTGCTGGAGGCTATACTCCTGCCAGAGAGTATAGCCTGTATTCACTGTAGAGGCCATCAAAAGAGAGAAGCAGAAATAATAAGAGGAAATAACAGAGCAGATATGGCAGCTAAACAAGCAGCAGAGGGTGGGGACAGACTTCAAACGTCACTCCTACTGGTACCCCCAGATCCTAACTCTTACACTCCCATATACACCCCAGAAGAAAGAGAAAAGCCTTTGAGATGGGGCTATTTTAAAAGCCCAGAATATCAGGAATGGATGGTTAACAATCATGGGCAGCTGTTCTTCCCATCAGCTACTGCACTCCAAGCCATCCAGGAAGCTCACCAGAACACACGTTATAGGCAGGAGGCCCTGTGTCAATGGCTCACCAAATCCATGACTAATCCCAACATCTGAAGTCTCCTTAAACAGGTGGTTGAAGCTTGCCCTGTCTCCAGAATAACCCCAACACTTACCGCCCACCAAGGTCAAGGGAGTGACCCCCACCCAGTACAGAGGCACACATCCAGGTCAAGACTGGCAAACTGATTTTCCAGTAATGCCCCAGGCACAAGGAAATTTTTAGATATTTGCTGTTTTTGACGGACACCTCTGGCTGGATGGAGACATTCCCGACCCAAACCAAGACTACCTCGGAGATCTCTAAGGTCCTGCTCAAAAAAATAATCCCTCAGTTTGGGCTCCCTAAATCCATTCAAAGTGACAGTGGGCTCACCTTTGTTTCTCAAATTACTAAGGAAGTCTCTAGAGCCCTAGGAATTAAGTGGAGCTTACACTCTTCTTGGAGACCACAATCTTCAGGAAAAGTAAAAAGAACAAATGAAACACTCAAAAGAAATTTAGCCAAACTATGTCAAGAGACTCATCAACCTTGGATCTCCCTTCACCCCACAGCACTTTGGAGAATGCAATTAGCCCCTAAAGGAAAGCTCAGGTTAAGTCCATAAGAGATCATGTACAGGAGGCCCATTCCTGAAGGACCTGGCTGCAAAGCCAACCTTAGGGATATGGACCAAATGAAATATGCCTTACAGAGAGGGGAAATAATCAAAGCTTTACACGCCTCTAAGGCAATCAGGAATTCCCTTCCCCTTCTGACATGGTTTTACATTCTTTGTACCCCGGGGATTGGGTTTATTTCAAAACCTGGAAGGCTGGAAATCCACAAGACCAGTTAGACCCCAAGTGGACAGGACCTTATCTTCTTATCTTGACCACTCATTCAGCCTGAAAATCGCAGGGCATAACTCCGTGGGCCCACCACCATACCAGAGTGAAGACGGCACCTACACCTGAGGAAGAAGTTACTGAGCCATGCACTCAATACACCTGTGAACCTGTCACACACCTTAAGTTACTTTTGAAAAGGACTAACTTACCAATAGATAAGTAATGTGGTGGACAGCCTTATTAGTTGGCCTCATCATTTACTATTGCCTTACTTGGCTTCTGCTGTTCTGCCAAACCCCCTCCCTCTGGCAAACACCTCCTCTGAACATGCTGGACACATGGGATACTAACATTGGAAGCAGGATGAGTGGCCATTATTGTCTATTCTTTCTTCTCTGCTCTATCTGTCTCTTACAACCGTCCACACAGAATGGGAATTCAATGCAATAGTAAATTTCTCAAGAATTATAGCCTGTGGACAAAATCTATCCCAGTGCTGGATCTGTCACCCCCACTCTCCAAGTGACCCTATGGATTAAAGGTATTACATTTTGGGCTTCCCTGGTGGCGCAGTGCTTGAGAGTCCGCCTGCCGATGCAGGAGACGCGGGTTCGTGCCCCGTTTCGGGAAGATCCCACATGCCGCGGAGCGGCTGGGCCCGTGAGCCATGGCCACTGAGCCTGCGCGTCCGGAGCCTGTGCTCCGCAAATGGGAGAGGCCACAACAGTGAGAGGCCCGCATAACGCAAGGAAAAAAAAAAAAAAAAAAAAAAAAAAAAGGTATTACATTTTACCCCTAAGAATGATAACCTCACTCTCACCTTGGCTAAACCTACCCCCCTTGAAGTTCATATCCCATCCCTAACGCAGCTTCCCTGCTTGGATTCCCTCTAACGAATACAAAGCACTCACTCTAAAGTGCCATTGCTCTGATCGTCTTGCTGCCACTGCCCCTATTAAACGCCCCCACCAAAGGGAGGAACTTGCAATAACACCTTAGGGCTGCTCTGGACTCTGATCAATGCTTCTTCCATTATCCCACAATTTAAGTACCCCGGGATTGACTCCTGTGGAAATCTCACCTGTTGGTGCCCTCTGAACCAACCTGATGAATACACACAGGGACCAGAAGGGAGAGGTACTTACTGGAGAGGGAAAATGCCAGTTGTCTGGCATTTAGTATATGGCCCTCCTAAGGCCTGGGGAAAAGCCACTAGTGAAGAATCCCTCAGTAACCCCCGCTATGCAGGTGGGCCTCTCTCCCCACACTGCAAGGGCACCCCCTCTTGGGCTAGCCACTTATGGAGGTGGTTCAACTCCCCAGAACATAAGCTCCCCCTGGGTACCTGTTCCTTTGTGGCCCAAGAATAAACCAACTGCCCCATCAGACCAACCCCAACTCCTCCTTCCCTTCTCTGGGGTGGGCTCTAGCCCTTCCTTGTATAGATAATGCCCAGTTGGGGGGAACATTGCATGCTAGGCCAGCTAAATTCTCAGAACCTACGTATAACCATTCATAATATCACCCTGCCCTGAGATAAAAGAGCAATAGGACTCATTCTGGCAGGAATAGGGACTTCTCCAGACTAGCAGCTCCCTGGGGAGGCTTCGCATACCATGAAATCACTCTACAAAATCTCACCCAGGCCTAATTGCTATTATCCTCCTGCTTATCTTTGGGCCTTGCCTACTTAACTGCCTTGTCAACTTCCTTAGTAAACAGCTTGAAGCCATCAAACTTTAGATGATACTAAATAAGGGTACAAGCAACTGGGACTGCAGCTTGGCGACAATCAGACTTATTTTAGGCTAGTCAGGAACAGTTCTGCTCCTCTAATCCAGGGAAAAATATTGCTCATGTTCAGCAG